AAAAAAAAAAAAGGTTGCTTACATCAGGGCTTAGCAAATGTCTTATGTAAAGGGCCAGCTAATATAAGGGGCCTTCAAAACTTTTGTGGGAAAATTCCATTCTCTTTCAATTCCATTTTCCCACCAATGTTTGGAATATTCTGGGCTTGGCAGGCCGCAGCCTCTCACAAGTACTCAATGCTGCGCTCGCCTGTCGAAGGTAGTCACTAACAGCATGTCGGTGACTGTCCAGAGAACTTTAGTGGCAGGAACAGGTGGCTGGCCAAACGTGGCCCTTGGCCAGAGTTTCTGTGTCTGGAACAAAGTCATGGGCAGGCTGGACACACAATGACTGGGAGCCTCTCCACTGCCCCCAAAAGCAGACAAGTTGTAAACTTGGGAGGAAGAATGAAAATCCTAAAGTTGAACTGAAATAGAAAAATTTAAGTAGCCCCTAAGAGGAAACAAATAGAAAAAAATCACTCCTGTATTACACTGAAGCCCAGGCGGGGAGGTCCGGGACTCATGGGGACTGCCCTGATTTTCCAAGCTTCACTTTCTGATTTGGGCAGGCTGAGATCTGGCCACTTTTCTCTCGCTCCTTTAAGTGGGAAGGATTTGTGGGTTTGTCCCACCTTTCACAGGTTCCTGCTTTCATGAGTTTGACAGCAGTGTGTAAAAAAAAAAAACTGGATGAAAAAAGAAAAACTGAATGTTTAAATAAGGAAAATGAACATTCTGATCTTTGGCCGATGGGCATTTTGTGGTTAGGGCCGCTGCTATTCTGAAACCACGTCGATAAGAACCATAGTTTCCAGGGAAACGGGTACCTGGATCATTGTGGGGGGCTGTCTCTAACATATAGCAGTTAGCAACTTCTGTCTCATTTCTAAAGAGCCCAGAATTCCAAAGCCCCTGCCCTTGAATCAATTCCAGCTCATAGTGACTCTCTAGGACAGAGTCAACACAGTTTGACTGCCCAAGGCCGGGATCTGGACAGAAGCAGACGGCCTCAGCTTTCTCCCACTTCAAAAGCAGTGCATCTCAATGACCTCCCAAGCCTCTTGCAACTTAATACTCTTTCTTACCAATCCCTACCCAACCCCACCCCCCGGTGGGGATGAGAAAGAGAAAACCAGAGGAGGTGAAAGTGACCACAAGGAGACATATGCTCAAAATACCCAAATGGAGCAAAGTGCCACCTGCCTTAATGGAAATCCCTTTTCTAAGACACAAAGAGAGCTTTCCTGAGGATGAAAAGTTCCAGAGGGTTAGGGAATGAAGTGGAATGGAGCCAGCAAACACAGGGAGGAAGTGGGGTGAGGTTAGCTACCTGCTGGGGATTGCAATCAATGAACCAAAATGTGTATGCATTGTTGAATGGAAAACTGATCAATACCTCCCCCAGAAAATTTTCACTAATCACAATGAGTACAAGGAAGAAGAAAATTGTTTCTAAAACTGATTGTGGTAATGATTGTATGATTCTTCTTGATATGACTGAACTATTTAACTGTATGATGTGTGGGTGAAGTTTTAAAAAATTGATCAGTTCTGAGAACAGTCACCCAATTCACAAGCAAAAGTTACTGAAACACCAAAGACCCAAGGAGCGGAGCAGGGCATGGCAGGCACTCACTTCTTTTCAGCCAGGACGTAATGCGCACTCATGTTGGCGTGTGGTACAACGTGGTGGTGACGAGGTCTCTCGTTGGCTGAAAAGGCTGCGTTGATAGCAAAATGCTTCACATAGGATTCCAAGATAGTGATGATGTTGGTCTGGCATGGAAGTTTCACTAACTGTCAATAACACAGAAACGTCTAATGTCAACATGATGAACCAGTCCACAGAAAAGTGGTCACGTCTACATTTTTTCTTTACCTCAACCAATAAGAAAGCCAGCCAGTTCTGGTCAGAGGACGCAGAACCCGCTGTCGTGGAGTCAAATCGGCTCCGAGCGACCCTCTAGGACAGAGGAGAACTGCACCATACATGTTTCCAAGAAGTAAACTCTTGAGAAGCATACTGTCTCATCATTATCCTGCTGAGTGGCTGGTGCGCCCCAACTGCTAACATTTCGGTTAACAGCCGGGTGCTAACCACTGCTCTGAGAACCCAACAGAACCTCTAAAATGGACATGGTCTGATCGCTTTGGGGTTTCCCTGCTACTGATTATATCCTCCCCTGTGGATTAAGGCATTCCTTTTACACACAGCGGACTTGTAAGCAGTGGTTCACAATTGTAGCGTGTCAGGAGAGCATGTGGGGTCTCTAAAAATTACTTGGCACTGTCCCCCAACATACCACTGAAGTCATGACCTCCTGGTGGGCTGGCTTTGCTTTCCACCGTACCCACCAGCACCGTTGACCAAACCCGACCAATCCCACTGCCACCAAGCTGATTCTGATTCCCAAGGCCCGAAGAGAGGGTTTCTGAAGCTGTAGAGCAGGGGTCCTCAAACGTTTTAAACAGGGGCCAGTTCACTGTCCCTCAGACCCGTTGGAGGGCCAGACTATAGTTTGAAAAAAAACTATTAACAAATTCCTATGCACACTGCACATACCTTATTTTGAAGTACAAAAAACAGAGCAAAAACACCCAGCAGGCCGGATAAATGTCCTTGGCCCGCTGGGGCCCGCTGCATGTGGCCCGCAGGCCGCAGTTTGAGGACGCCTGCTGTAGAGCATTGCTGGAGCAGACTGCTTCCTTTTGCTCCCAGAGCAGCTGGTGGGGTTGAACCATTGACCTCGTGGGTAGCCATCCAATGCTTACCCGCCAGGGCCTCCAGGGCTCCCCACCACTGACAGGACAGGGACCTCAGCAGAGAATCCAGGGAATGCACTTCATTCCTCAAAGCAGCGGCAGGCTCCACGGACACCCCCTAAGGCAGTGGTTTTCAACCTTCCAATCATGCCATGACCCTTTAATACAGTTGGTGACCCCCAACCATAAAATCATTTTCATTGCTATTTCATCACTGTCATTTGGCTACTGTGATGAATCGGGCAACCCCAGTGAAAGGGGCGTTCGACCCCCAAGGGGAATCTCCATGTTTTCACCGTCACCTTACATACCCGCTTCCTCCGGTTAATATAATAGCAGTCATCCTCCAGTTTCTTCTTCAGGACTTCAGGGATGTCTATACTGATTGCCCTTTCGTCCATGGCCCTTTTTGGGTGCAGCCTGGGGTCTTCTTTCTGCAAGAGCAGAAGTCTGCAATGCACGAGCGCAAACCTGCAGGAGTGTCCACACCACAGCCCCAAAGGACTCCCCGGACAGAGGCAGAGGACTTGCGGTGCCGATGACACAAAGTACACCACGTGTTCAAATGAAAAGCATGGTCGAAGAGAAAGGAAGGCTGGATCTTAATATCCTTGATAGCACTTAGTGCTTCTGTTCCAAGGCCTTCTTGTGTCTCTTCCCCCATTTCAGCTAATAAGCAAGCTTGCTGGTAACTTTGGAGGTCAGCAGAAGATGCTGGTCAAACTGTGGTACCCACCCATGACCTCCGAGTTGATTCCGACTCAGAGTGATGCTGAGGACAGACTGGAATTACCCCAGAGGGTTTCTGAGGCTGTAAATCAGAGCTACCCAAACCTACTTACGATCGCTCCCCTTTTCAGGGGGTAAAAAAAAAAAATCAACAAAATGGACACTCCCTCAGTAACAAACTTTTGTACTACACCATTCAGGATAAAGTGTAGGGTTATCTGATTTGGGAGAGCTCCTGGATCGTTTCAATGCCCCACCCCCACCCTAAGGTGCATCATCGCCACTTTGGGAAAGACAAGACTGCTGTAAATCTTTACAGCAGTCGACTGTCTCTTCCGTCTCCCCAGGAGGGGCTGGTGGGTTTGAACTACCTACCTTTCAGTTAGCAGCCCAATACTTTAAAGCCACTTAAAAATGAATCCGGTATAAAAAATGTTTGGAAAAAAGGCAACTTTATCATTTTCAAAAGCGCTATGGGAAACACCCGGCCACAGAACAATGCCTTCCCTGTCCTTTGCCCACCGGCACTGGACTGATTCCAGTGCCCAGCGACCTTGCCTGGGGTTCCCGAGACCGCCAATCTTTACAGGAACAGCCAGCCTCATATTTCCCCCTCGGAACACTTGCCAACCTTTTGGTCAGCAGCTCAGTGCCAAGCCCACAGCGCCACCAGGGGAATCTAACCCAGGGCTGCTTTTCTTGAAAGGTCAAGTAAGCATGTGTGTTTCATAAAACAAGGAACTTTGGGAGAATCATTCACCAGTGGAGAATTTTACTGATGAAAGAGAGACCTTGGGCAATAAAAACTTGATACCTTATCAGCCTTTTCTTCACCTTCACTTTCTTCACTTAGCTCGGCCTTAGTTTCCTGGCTGCTCTCGTCAGAGGAACTGCTTATTGCTAAGGAAAACAAGGACATTGAAAAGCCGTCAAAGTCCAGACTCAGTTCACCCGACAATGGCAACCTGACAGTGATATACACCTGACACACATAACAAGATGTCTCATCAATGCTAAACTCAGACACTGTGTCCGCCAGACCCCAAAGGGACTTTCAAAAATCTAACACCCACTTCAGTGCATGTGAGAGATCACATGAGCTCAAGATTTCAAAGCTGTTTATTCTAAAGTGGAACTAAGGTCCAGGCACCAACTCAAAGAACACACGAGAATTGCCCATGAGGCCTGAGAATAAAGACGCTGGCTGACAACGCAGCAACTCTGAGAAAGATTCTGAGGAGATCTCTAGAGGACAGTGATGGCTACTTTCAAAGTCAAAACCCCAGGAGCCAAACGTTACAAACATGATGAGCTGCCCATGAATCACTGCTTGTAATCACACTGACTCATCCCATTAGCCCTGCGGAATAAAAAGACAAGTAAAACATCTTTTAGCCCAAGAAAATAAAGCTAAACCACGCACAGTTTTCAGAATTTTCATCTTTCTCGTCCACAGGGATGCTTTTTAAAACCGAGTCGACACCTGGGAGCCTGCAGCGTTTCTTCTTTCTTCCTTTTCTTCTGTTGGAAACAAAACTCAGTTGAAAGACATCTTGACACTGACTGGCCTTGGCCTTGGGGAAAAACTATAAAGCAGGATGGCTAAACACTGGGGGCGGAGGTAGAACTCTAGAACATAAAGGGTAAACTCCATTTCAGGTTAGGCACTGTAATTATTTAAACAAAAGGAACATTCTTTGCACACACCCTTTAAACATGGAACATTTTAAAACCAACCGCACTTTGTCATTGTATTAATTTTGCATCAAGCAATTCTAAACACTGAAAGGAAGCACTGAGTAACATTTATGGCAGGTTTTTGTGGTTTTTTTTTTGGGGGGGGATGTTCTTACAGGCGAGCTACAGCTTTTCTTGCTAATTTCCGCTGCAATCTCCGGTTCTCCTCGGTATCATGGAGCACATGATCTTCAGCTGCCCAACGATCCCAGCTGATGGAACAGAAAAAGAGAGAGAACAGAAAATCAGCGTTTCACCGTGGTCCTGAAGTAAATGCTAACAGCGGTGTCCCGGGATTTGTGACATTTTAGAACACTATTCAAAACTTTTAAAATCACAACTAGGGCACAAATAAGCTGAGAAAAACCACACTCAATCCGACAAGGAGAAAAGGTGAGGTTTCCAGAATTTCCCAGAGATGATGCAAACATGAGACTGAAAAGGAACTATTTCTTACAACAGGCAGACCTTGATAACAAAAGGAAAAAAGAAACTATCCCCAAACGCTGCTCAAGCCTAACAAAACGTTTGCAAGGCCTTGGTAGTTTTCAGCACAGTTTACCACGTCCGCTTACCTTCGGTTCCAACCATTAAAATGGATCAGATATTCTGGGATCTTTCTGCCTTTTTCGTCTTTGCCAACAATAACATCGACAATCTGAAACCAGGAAAAAATTGCCCAGAAGTGACAGAGCATACAAAATAGTAGAAGCTAGATCGAAAAAATTAGATCATATTCCATTTGTCAAAAAAAAAAAAAAAAAAAGCAAAGCGTTCTCTCCTTTTTTAGCTTGAGAGCTGGTTTGAAACATTTTCCCTTTCAATTCCATTTTTTTTCCCGAGTGGATGCCTCAAAATAGGAAGCATCCGGCCAACCACCTTTGTGATTGGTGTCTGAGCTTTAAAAAAAGGGCGAAGCCCATGACACCATTGGCCAGTGAATCAGTCACTCATGAGCGTCCCAGCCACTCAAAAGAACAGCCTCCCCGAGACTTCTGGGAGTTGTAGTCCCTGGCTGGCCTAGGCAGCGCCGGGGGAAGGCGGAAGAGACGCTTCCCTGCCTGCAGGATTCCCAGCACATATTTCGGGGGCAACGGATTGGCTTGTCCCCAGCCTGGGAGACTGAGGGGTGTAGGTGGGCATTGGGGGAGGAGACAGGGCTTGGGAAAGGAACGAAAAAGACGAGGGCTACAAGGAAGGGACTCGGAAGTACAACCGCACAGCCCAGGGGTTCTAATGCCCCCCCCCCCAGGGCAACACAGTACACGCACTTGTCGGACCGCCAGTCTGGGCCAGTTCCACCCCCGAGGCCCTAGGGATAGGCCTAGTCCCACTCCGAGGACGCCGGGCTGCCAAGCCTTACGGTTCAGAGAGGCTGGCGCCTCCCAAGACGATAGTGTACATTCCCTCCTCCCAGCCTTAGGGATGGGGCTCAGCCATTCCTCTAAACCCAAGGGTAGACGGCTGAAGCCGGGACTCTACCCTAACGCAGCTCTCCGCAAAACCTTCGGAGGATTGAAAGCGGAAGTGATGGAAAGCGCTGAAGGGCGGGGAGAGAAGGCTAAAGGGAGGGGGGTGTCCAGCCTTAGAAACCCCAGGGATGGGCGACGTCGGCGGGCAGCAGTGAGAAGCTGGATTACGGACCTGAGTCTGTGGGTCATGGCTTACCACAAGAAGCCACACCGGACCGCATAGGACAAGGAACGATTTAACGCGATGACGAAGCCAACCGCCCCGGACCCGGCTCAGCCCGCAGCCAGTCCTGGCGTTAACAGAGCCACAGCCCGCGCGGGCCGCTGCCTAGCAACGCAGCCCCACGAGGTCCTTTATGGCGCCTGCGCGGCCCCGCGTTCGAAGCGGAAGTGGAAGTGCCCTGACCGATGTCCGGTGCACAGCCCCGCGAGCGCCCCCTGCCAAACTCCCGTGCACTGCGGGCGTCGCGGGCAAGCGAAGTA